TGCTATCCGTCACTTCCTGACGAGCTTATATATCGATAGACAAATTTACTTCAGAGGTCGATTAGGTCCCCTGGTGACGGATAATTCGATAGCCAAGAAAAGAAGCAATTCCTTTCTTCCCATTTGCCATCTAGGTACAGCATCTAAATAGCGTAGCTACAATCTACTACCGTAGCACGGTAGCGGCAGTGCCGGACATACAATCGATCATCAAATTCCAAATAATCATAGAAGCTAAGACACGGAGAAGAAAGGTCCTTAAGTATATACAAAAGAGAAGGTATGAGTTACACAGCAATACATATCTCGCAGTCAACGCCAGCAAGCACGGTCTTCACATTATAGAAAGGGAGAACAGCAACATGAAGAAAATAGAAGAAGGGAGAAACAATGGAGAAAGGAGATATATACTCAAGGGGAAGAGATTAAAAAAGAAAATTTTGGCCTAGTAAAACCTGAAAAGCTGGCAATCATAACTGGAATAGGCGACACGAAGATCCACGGACCAACACCTTTATAGAGGTAAATCCCTAAATCATAGATAGATAGACAGATAATATTACGCCATTGGCAAATCAATCACCCATAACTTCATCTTCGTCTGAGTCAGCAGCAGCATGATTTTCATCTTCCTCTTCTTCATTGTGATCTTGTTCGATGTTGTCGTCTTCTACCAAGCCTCTTGCTCGTAAATCCTCGTCCTCGTCCTCTTCCAGATTGAGCTGCACCTCCTCTTCCTCTTCCTCATCCTCGTCGTCGTAATCGTCTACCCTTTCAGCGGATTTAGCGTTGTCTTGGCGCTTGCTAGAGCTGCTTTGATTTCGGTTTGGTTCCGTGGAAGTAGGTAGTTGTTTGCCCTTGGGTCGGGTCGGGTTCTTGGGTTTACGCTCGTCGAGGAATGTGACTACTTCGCGATAGTTCTGGCCTAGGTCGGCTTTGTGCCTGACCAATCTTTGCTTGAGCTGACCACGCTCTTCGCCGGAGGCGTCGATAACACGGCCTACAATCGCCAAGACGATCTTGCCTGTGAGTTCGCACAAACGCTGTTCAGCCACGATTCTGGATCGCAGGCGCTCGGTGGCTATCATTTCTGCTTCGGAACCAGAGTCGTTCTCGTCATCAGGATCCTTCTCAGCCTCTGAGTCGGATATAGGTTCATCGTCGTCTGCGGGCTCGTAGGAGAAACGTAGCCTCTTTGCATATGTACGCTCTGCGACACTGTGGATTTTAGCGATAAGTTTGGAGGCTTCACCTGCGATCTCGTGGACCAAGCCTTGTGTCTGGAGAATGATTTCTTCATCGTTACTGGCTTTTTGTCCCGCATGTCGGAGGGTGCCGAAGAGGGTCTGCAGGTCCAAGAGTGTTGTTGTTGCCGAGAAACGTATATCATCCAAGCCAGAACGTGCCTTCATGATGGCGACAAGTGTCGAAACGAACAACTCCCGGCTCTTTGTTAAGACTTCGAAGTATTCGGTATCAAAAGAAGCGTTTCCAGCGCTTAGTGCAGTTGTCAAAGACTGGACCTTCCACATGAAATAGAACAGCAGTGTCCGTATGCTGCTGCTCACAAGTTCAGTCTCTGCCTTTGCGGATTCTTCATCGTCTTCAGTTTCGCGTAGGCCACGTTCCGTCAGATGCAGAAGGATATTAAAAGGTGTCTCCGCAGTGTCTTTGCTCTTGCCCTTTGACCGGGAAGGTGTTGTTTCCAGAATCTGTGTGCAGTCGGTTACACTGGCAAGGTTGGAGATTCTCATTACAGTATTCGTAAGTTGATTGAGAGTAGAGTCAGGTATTGATCTGCCCTCCAGAACTTCCTTTTTCCGGGCTAATGTGCTGAGTGTATCGATCACGCCCTCCCACAGTTCCGAAATTTTATTCTCTAAAGCTTCCCGCATATCGTCTGAGCTCTTCGCATGAAGAAAAGCAACACTAGCCTCTGTGAGCACATCCTGATCAGAGTGCGTTAAGAATTGCTTGTTGATGTCGTTCAATAATGATGTATAGGCAGTCGCATCTTTCTGTAAGTCTTGTATCTTATCTAGATCGACGAGGTGCTCAAGTCGTAGAACGGCAGAAGCAGCTTCTGGCACAGAGCCGAATTTATTCAAGAGCTGGGGAATGATCTGCGCAAGGTTATGCGCAATCTCTTCTTGAAGCTCAGGAATCTTGTCAGTCAATGCCTTGACCTTCCGTCCTCTTTTATCAATATCGGACTTTGCGACCTCAAGAACACGCAACTTAACAGCACTGCATAGTACTTCTAAGAGAATGACCTCCTGCCCTTCCTGCATCTTATAAAGCTGTTTGATGGAACCTGAAGTGTCATCCTCGGATGAAGTGTCCGCAATCTGGGAATGATCGTAAAGCAGATACCCAGCCAAAGATTGCCATTGGGACAATTCCTTGAGGTAAGGATAAATAGCCTCAGTAACAAGAACAAATCGCGTATTAACAGGAGTGCCGGAGAGCATGTCCTTCGATGCAGTGGTGGGCTGGTCGGGCTTATACTCATTTTCAAGCTCGTCGTAAGATTGAAGGGTGTCGACCAGACATTTGAACTTGATCCACGAACGTTTAGGCGATTCGAAGTCATCTTCATCCTCTTCACCGAATATCTCATTGATTTCGTCTCGAACTTCTTCGACCGTGGAATCGTACACATCATGAACGTTGGCGACAAAGAAACGGCCAGCTGCTTTTCGAATCCGTGGTTCCAAATCGAAGACAAGCCTGCCCACTGTGTCAATGTCGCTAGGCTCAATTAATCCGGCCTCCCGAATCAGATCCACTAGTTCAATCGCAGAGGCCCGTACCCCAGTGTCTGCATCACGGGCAGCCATTTCCACCATTCGTTCACGGAAGCGCGCGGTGAATGACCGCATGCCTGCAATGTTATCTTTATTCTCATATAAGCTGCGAAGTTGGTTTACAACGATAAGACGTGTCTGGGCGACGGTGTCAGACAACATCCAGCCGAAGTACCGAAGGAACTGTCCCTCGAAGAAATACTCTCGGTAGCTGCGAATCCATTGTCCCAGTCCCGCCATACATTCTGCACGAATGTTAGGGTCGACATCCCGATATCGGTGAACAAAGACGACATTGACACCATCTTTAAGGTATTCATCGATGATCTCCAGCTTCTTTTCGCCATCTTCAATAGCCTTTTCGATAGCGGATGCTCTTCCTTGATTCACCGATTTCTTTTTCTTCTCAGTTTCGAGCTGTTTACGAGAAGTAGACACTGTTGTCATCAATTCCCGGGCGATGTCGCAAAGAGCACACATGACTGCCAGTAAAATCACAGTTGAGGTATGTCTGAAAGGCCGAGAGTGCGATGTTGACATAGCAGATAGCCAAATTTCGAAATTCTCGAAGAGGTTTTGATCGTCGTATAGAACCGAAGAATGATGAAAGGTCTGGATTAAGGACTTAAAGAATTCTTCCAAGACAGGCTGGAAAGCCCTGAACTTTCTCGCTCTAGAGATCAAGGGCCACTCGGCGAATCCTTCCTCTTGATGTTGATTTTGCAAGTCCTTTACACGGTCCGGCGCGTGGTCGACATCGTTGATATGGTCTTGGGTTACTTCGAGATCAGTTCCTATACATCTGAGCACAAAGTTAACCATATCACGTAGTGCTTGAGACTGCTCTCTCTGGTATCGCGAAAGCCACTCGGCAGCAGTAGTGTCGGCATTGCGCCCTTTACCAAAGACCTCCGCTACACAGTAGTACTCATAGTTAGCCACATCGCCACAATAATCAGGAGACAATGATAAAATTTACCATAGAGGCCCCGTTCACCGGCAGCCAAACTGGGTCGCACTATTGGTTTCCTGGGACGGGAGAAAACTGTCTTCTTTCCATTCGTAGCAGGTCGGAAGGCCAGTTGGCTCCCAATTCCATTACCAGCTACTTTAGGTTTCTTCGCGCTGCGAGGCTTTGCTTTAGCCTTCGGCTGGGACGTTGCTTTCTTGGATGACGCTTTACGTGCAGCGCGTCTCTTCTCTCGGAGTTCTTCTTCATCGGGTTCTTCATCGGCGGATTGGTCCACTTCGGGCTCGGACGCGTCTGCATCCTCGACATCTTCCTCGTCATCGCCGCCGGCACGCTTGCGCTTCGTGCTCCCTGCGGTCGCGATATCATTGGCGCCATAACTCTCGGCGTACAGTTCAGGCTTTCGCGTCACCCGACCGGACTTTCTTCTGTTTGTGGATGGGGATGAAGCTTCTTGAGTGGGCCCGGGCTGGGGGCTTGAAAGCGGCGGTTCAGTCTCCATTGTTGGCGGAAGTATTTAGAGCACTACATAGTCATAGCAGATGAATTAGTTCACATTGCGACCGAATACCCGCTAGCACATTCTATCAGTCAGGAGTGAGGCGTACTTGGACGTGGGGTTCAGATGATGATGGAATTTCACGGGGATGCTGAACGCGATTATTGTTAGTTTTCCTAGCACGGCACCTGCGGCTTTGCGCGCGCGTGTTGCAAGTGTACGCGATCGGACAGACAACAAAAAAACAAGTGGTAGCGAAAGCGTTTCGAGACTCAATGGGAAAAATGGTGCATTGAGGATACCGTTCCGATGTGTCGAGAGTGGGACTCCAGAAAGTCGAAGTGAGGGGGGTGGGAACACGGTGAACTGTTCGGACGGAACGAACAGACGCGCTTTGGTGCCTGGCGATGACGGGCTCCAAAAATGAGTTGATGCCCCAGGTGTCTAGATTTGTGCCTGCCTGTTGTGTGGAGGTGGCCTCAGTCATCGAACGTTGATCAAAACGGTAATGAAACGGTATGATCAGCCTAGTGCGTAATGATTGGCATCGCCAAGAAAGCCTCGCCCGGGGGCGAACCCTAAGCCCTCATCATCTGCGGAGAATCTCAGTATTGATGCCGTAATAGAAACCTCCTCGGTCTCCATCATCGTGGCATGAATGCTCATCTCTAACTTAACATTGGAAGAGCCAAGACTGCAAATTCAATGGTCGATACACAAGGGCCTTACACCCCGCTTCCAGCTAATCATTCAAGGGGGTCTGCAGGATCACCTGGTCGGACATCTCGGCGTTGTTTGGCTGCCCCGGAAAATCAGATTGATCCAAAAAAAAAAAAATCCCATTCTCCATGACGCCATTTAACAGATATTTCAATTGATCCCATAAATGGCAGATATATCATACCGTGAATATCCACACCTTCGATTTTCATTCTCTCACTTTTCCCCTTATTCATTCCCACCTTAATCCTTTTCTCTTTTTGCTCAAAGACCTTCCTCTTCCTCTATGCAGATCACATCTAGAATCATGCCTATAAAATCACCCTTTGAGGCATCCATTGCCAAACCCGGACAAGGCAATGTTGTCCTTTCACTACTACCTCCTTCGAACCCTACCTTAACGACCCTTACCTACAAATATCCCCTCAAGCTCCTCACAAGAACACCCGGCTACGTACCTCAATCCTCCGCTCTATCATGTCCAGTTTCCCGTCCAGTCCACCTCTACCTCCTCACCTATGGCGGCGGCCTCCTACCAGGTGACCACATCGAGGTCTCAATCAAGCTCGAACAATTCACAAGAATGGTTGTAACAACACCACAAGGAACCACGAAGATCTACAAAACAGAGCCCAGCAGAAGCGTCAAGGGCCGCCGTGCCCCGGGGCGAGTATTATCAGACAAGAGCCGGCAAACACTAGACGTGCGGATCGAGAAAGGAGCTGCAATGTGTTACCTCCCCGATCCAGCCGTACCATACAAGGACAGCCGGTACGAACAAGTCCAAACATTCACAGTCGACAGCACAACAAAGGGCTCCCAACGGAGCAGCCTTTGCATGTTAGACTGGGTGACAGAGGGACGCAAATCCCGAGGCGAGAACTGGGACTTCCACCTCTGGAAAGGCAAGAATGAAGTCTACAGCGTCGACGAATCAGGCAAAAAGAAGCTTCTGCTCCGTGATTCACTCATCCTTGATGAAGAGCTCGACGAAGGGTCATTAGAAGATGAGCATGAGACACTGAACCGCACTGGTGTTATCCGGGAGCGAACACGGCCTCACGGTATTGTGGGCACGTTGATTCTCTACGGACCCGTGTTTGAGCGCCTTGCAAATTTCATCATGGATCGGTTTACTTCACAGCCACGGATTGGAGCTCGCAATTGGTCATCTTCCGCCCCTGCGGCTGTAGAAGCACCTCCAAATTTCGACTCGAAGGTCACATTCACCGCTGCTCGTGTACGAGCCGGTTTTGTCCTGGTCAAGTTTGGGGCTGATCATTTCGAAACAGCCAAGGATTGGCTAGGCAACATTCTTCGTGAAGAGGGAACCGTTATTAACGAATTTGGGGAAGAAGCTTTGTGCTGTTTGTAATTTGATTGTGCATTTTTCTGTTTTACTTTGTTGTTCAGCTTACGGGCAATAGTCCCGATCCTTTGCATGCAGGCTGACCGCCACAAAACAAAACAAGAGGACTGTGGAAGTCTATCAGATGATACCCAAAACTAGATCCTATACGATCTTATCTTTCTACATATCACATTTGATGCCCCAAATACAAAGAACACGAATTGTCTCGCATCAATCATATTGCGTTGATCTAAAATAGGAACTGGTAAAAGTAACACAAAATTCTAAGGAAACAATACGACAACTCGTAGGATATCTACTCAAAAGGAACCTCAACACCGTCGAAAAAGTGGTAAAACTTCACTGCCTAGCATGGTGCATGGTGCATGGTGCATATTGGGCTTGTTTGACTGTACAGCCACACCTAATTTATATGCAGATTGCAGGCAGCAGCAACGCAAGTTAGTGCCACCAATCAGAGAATTTGGGTCTCCAGTCCTGTTTAGTGGCACTCTGCAGATCGTCAACGTTGAGAATATCAACCCCTTCGCGAACCAGAACAGTCCAGATATGATTCCTCAAACTCCGAGGCCAGCTAGGCAACTCCCAATACCGAACTTTGAGTCCGCGCTGGTGGGCTCCCTGGATCTGCACTTTAATCTTGTCGATTTGTCGATCACTGAGGTAGAACAACCAAGGAAAGCCGATCGACTTCCTAAAAGAAACAGATGCATAGTAACTGTTGGTCCAGTTGAACGTGCCAGGGCCGATCTCGTCACCGGATAAGCCCGAGAGGCCCTGACCGACATTCTCGTTAGACCGGTCTGTCATCCCTCCTGCATCCTCTGGAATGTGATCATCGAAACCTTGACTCTCAACATTATCCATGTCATAGTCCTCAGCCAATTTCTCTAAAGGAGCATCGAAGAAGATGTCTCGATAAGTAGTGTTCGCCGCCACCAGGTTGAAGGGGGTATTGCCCGTTCCCACAACTGTGATAGGGCCTTTGACCACGCCAGTACCATTAAAGTGGGTAAGATAGCCACGCCCGCGGAGGGGTGACAACTGCTCGACGACTGTATTCCATGTCGCATCTCCGTCAGTCTTGAAATCAATGAGTAGGATAAGGCTCTGGGATGGGTCAGTGTCGAAAACTCCCTGTAATGACTGATCTACAGTAGGGTGGAGTTTGGAAGTTGGGTTTTGTTTCTCGAGTAACCTTATTAGGGGATCAATGTACAAGCTCCTCAGCGTGCGCTGCTGTGTCAGCGACGAAGTGGTATGGCCCACGTATAGTTCGTCGTCGAAAAGCCATACGTCGGCTTCCACGCCAATACACCCCGCCTGTATAGCAGAAAACAGGGGAACTGGCCGCCAATAGTCATTGTGTGAGTGGCATCCAACTGGGATGATATCTCTGGTAAAGTCCGTGGGCCAATGGGAGACGTTCGCGCCCAATCTTTCCTCGTGTTGCCAACGAAGAACTGACAAACGGTCGAGGTCATCCGAGAAGAACGTTATGACAATGCCACAGGCGATAATAATGAACTGAATGATACCTCTATGGGCGTGATAAGTAACCTCAGTAGTCGACGCCTCGCGACTTGGGAAACTTACAGCATGATGAAGAATCCTAGGAGAGGGAATAACACGCAGCGGGCTAGCTTAGGTCTCCTACACCGTCTCCGAGAACAGTTTGGAGTACGACTCGAGTTGGCGAGCAATGGCAGTACATCATCAGATTCTTTATCTTCGGACGCAGTGAAAGGAGAGGTCGCGGCCAGTCCACATCTCCATGCAGGTAAAGTCTCCAACCGGGTGGGACCAGTCAAGCCCTGCCCATTCCCTTCATCGCCCACAGACTCTTTCACAGACAATTTTAATTCTTTTAAGCCTGCCTTAGGCTCTGCACCTTCACTAGCGCGATAACTGTCAAAAGGGCAGTTGTTTGCGTGAGGAGTAGCAATGCGGGTGGAGTTCGAGGAGGCAAGTGGGGAGTGGAAAGGGGACGACATTCTTGGCCATAGGGCTTTGCCGATGGCGATCCCGCAGCTGTAAAGATAATGAAGGGTCAAGTCTCGTAGGTACTCTTTTCCTTCACGAAGTCTTCTCCACGACCCAACCCAACATGTGCGGTGTTGGATATCGTCATTGGGTCAGGAACATCGGCAGATCTTTCCACCATCGCCCATATCCCACCGGCAGATTTTAGAGCAGTTGCGCAGCGGGTAAGAGTCAGCTGTTGGTAGGATAAGAGGCTCTCATTCGCTAAGATCTGCAGCTGTTGATTCAGGTGGAGTGCCTAGACCCTGAGGGGAACCTGGTAAATACTGAAGGTGAGGTCCAAATGCCATATCGGAGTAAGCTCTACCTTAGGTCCAACACAGAACTTTCAGCACTTAGCCCGGGCCCATGGTTGAGCACAGCCTCCTCACCAGGGATACCCGAGGATAAGTATTATGGTAGCCTGGATTGTACTACTCGGGGCAAACTCAATATGGCTGCTCGTAAGTGTAACTAACGCACGTCCTTGTGTATTTAGTGATACTAGTGGTTGACCGGGGAGCTTACAAATGCTTATGGGGAGTTATTTCCATACAATTCAATCCCGCGGGAAAGGTAATTGTCTCACATTCTCATGAGAACCATTTTCCACTCGGGAATATATTTCGAATGCATGATGTCGTCAGGTATCCCTGATAATCATTCTGTTTTCGTAGCAAGTATGAGAGCTACGCATGGCTCGGGGGATTACGCGTAAAGCTATGTACAGTACACAGGTGGCCTATTGTAACGATGCGTGATGCGATCGATAAGGCGGAAATCGATAATTATAGTTTTTACGCTTAAGCTTCAGCTGGTTTAAGCGAGCAACCATGAATGTTGCAAAGATTCTTAGGGTCTGAGTTTATATGTATGCTCCGTACTAGTAGATAGTATTAAGTCAATAACCCTTGTAGCATACGGATACATCCCCCTTCTAACCGCATGGATTAGGTTCAAGGAACCCGGTTGACAATCGTCGGCGCACGTGACTATGACACGCCCACAAGTGCTGCTTTCTATTAAGAGTACAGCATAGCCTCCACCACTATAGAGTACCGTACCTATGATCACGTTCTAAGAATCATACTCACGGGTTTGTCATTTTGCGTCTTATACTCCTGGTACTAAAACAGTAAGATGCTATTGAACCCTGACGGAGTGGTATCACATATTCCTACCTGAAAAGACGAATAGGAGAGTATTCAACGCTAAGGCAGAGGCCCTCGCCTTACATCCTCTTTTTCTTTCCCCCCTCCATTTTTTTGATTTGTTCACGGGCATGACCAGTGTATGGATTTCTAACTAGAAATATGTATATATGCTACTCCGTAGGTATGAAAGGCCCTAGTATATATATATAATTGGTTATTAGCATAGTCGATGCACCAGCCAGCAATATAGGATTGCGTATATTACACTATATTTCACCCGAAGAAGGCCCCTAGCCTCGATACCTAGTACTATCTACAAGAAAAAGGGAAAAGGAAAAAGGAAAAAGGGAAAAAAAGTCTTCATAATGATACTCCGAGGTAGTGTGTATATGTAATAGCAAACAAGGTGGGCAATCTTATCAGCCGCGATTAGATATGCCGCCCAAAAAGAAAAAAAATTATTGAAGTTCCCATCCAAATCCACCTCCGCAGATTCTCATCACCAACAGTTGCAGAACCACCACATTTAAAATGCCTCACAAGCATAAGCGGAAGCAAAATGACGTGGAGTAGGTCTACTTTCTCGTGCATTGGATTATGCTGTGTCACCCCTAACCCGACCTTACTAGGATCTACGACCTCCCACCTACTATGATCGCAAAGTCTCTCCCGGTCCGCGATCCCAATTCCACGAACAAGAAATCAAAAAAGAATGTCAAGGACAACAAGCCGAAAGATAAACTCGAAGCCCGTGGGAAATCTGCTACAGACGATGATACCCCCAAAGCGTTTCGCCGGTTGATGCAGTTCCAGACACAGCGAAAGCAGGCGTCGTCGAAACCAAATGCTGGCGAGAATAAGAAGCGGAAAAGAGGGGCGGAAAACACCGATAATGCGACACAAACTACGCGCAAGAAGGCTGCCCCCGCGGCGGTAGTGGACCAGAGTACCGATGCCGAACCCCAAGTGAAGCCGAAGATTCTTCCGGGAGAGAAGCTGTCGGATTTCGCGGCACGAGTAGATCGCGAAATGCCTATTGCTGGAATGAAGAGATCTGATAAACCCGCAAAGTCGAACCTCGCTGATATTCGTGAGCATAAAGTAACGAAACATGAAAAACACCTACTCCGACTACAATCGCAGTGGCGGAAGGAGGAGTTGGAGATCCAAGAACGTGAGGCTGCTGAGCGTGAAGAGCGAGAGGCAGAACTGGAAGAACAGTTAGAGTTATGGAAGGAATGGGAAGTTGAGGCCGGCCAGGGCAAGGCGAAAAAGAAGGGAGCTGGTGCAAGAAAGAAGGGTGGACAGGGCGCCGATAATTCAGATCCCTGGGCCAAGTTGAAGAGCAAGGACCGTTTGAATAAACCGGCGAATCCTTTCGAAATTGCCGAGGCACCACCGCAATTGACGAAGCCAAGGGAGATTTTCAAGGTCCGAGGTGGTGCTAAAGTCGATGTTGCCAATGTGCCGACTGCTGTTGGTAGCTTGAGGAAAAGAGAGGAGTTGGCTAACGAGAGAAGAACTATCGTGGAGGAATACCGGAAGTTGATGGCTGAAAAGAGGCGATAAAACTCCGGTTGGGCTTACGACAACAATCCAGTTCTTTCATTGATTTTTGGCGAAAGGCGTCTAGTCACTCAAGCTTTTCTTTATCCATAATTATGTCTCTTGATCGCCGAGGTGTCCATATGGTTCCTCTAATCTACTCTGATGAAGCACTCTCAACGCGCACTTGCATGGTATCATACTTGTAAAATTTCGAGAACAAGAAAGCTTTTTATATACAGTATCTATGACCCAAACACAATGCCATCATAAGATATGTTCACACAGGATGCAGGGTCTACTCTTGCTGCAGAGACTTAACATACTCTGCTGCCTTCGCTTTGATGTCTTCCACCATCTTTTCATTACCACCATCAGCTGCTGCAAGCTTCTCCTCAAAAGCAAGCCATTTCTTGAAAAAGAACCGCGCCTGCTTGGGCCGGAGTTTTTTGCTCGCTTCCACAGACGCGACGCCCTTCTTGGAGTCCCGGATTCCAAGTACACGTTCGAATAAACGTCGGACCTGCTCGCTATCACCATTCTTGATCTCCAAATCCAAAAGGATGTTCCACAAATCAATCCGTTTAGGGAATGAAGAGAGGAGACCCTCGAACACCGTGCGACCACGTTCAACGTCTCCGTGTTCAGAGCGGAACTCCAGCTGTCCGAACTTAGATGTGGTTTCGACGTGAGTGTGAGAAGGAAGCGACTGCAGAGCGCGAGGCAGAAGGGCACGTCCACGTTCGGGAGCAGCCATATTGTCAAACAGGAAGCTGGCGTAGTTCAGGAAGAACTTGGGCGACTGGGAGATCTTCTTCTTAAGAGCAGTCTGGAAGAGCTCATCCGCTTTCTGTACGAAATTATAGTTAGCTATCGGAATGAAAGTGGATACTACGAGAGAACGTGGAACTTACCTCATTCTTTCCAGACTGGATGTAAATACTGATCAGACGCTCATAGACTTCCTGAGTGTCGTTGTATTGACAAGCCCGCTTGAACACCTCGTCGATAGTGTCATCGTTGCCGTACGTATTTTCCAAGTTGAGCATTGCTACCCAGATGTTCAACTTTTCAGCGTCTTGGCCAATGGTAATGGTGCGAAGAGCACGCTCGGCAATCTCCCTTGCCTTCTCGACTTCACCAAGCTCCAGTTGGAAGGCCATGTACCTCAGCCAAAGGAGTGACGAATCGGGTTCGCCAAGCAATAGTCGCTCATAATCAGCCACGGATTGTGGCCCATTGGCGTCTAATTCACCAGTCCTGTCGACCTGTATCTCAGGCTTGCGGTGTTTCTTCTTCTTCTTTCGCTCTGACTCATCTTCGTCATCAGAATCGGACGAAGCGGCCTTCTCATCGTCGTCCATTACATTGCCACTCCAATCGAAGCCACTTGCCCCGAGACCTCCTTGTCTGTTCGATGGAGCTTTGGTAATAGGTTCGTCGTCACTTTGTTCGGAATCACTCTCACTGTCCTCTTCAACGTCGACTCCTCCCATGGAGACGTCGCTGTCGTCGTCGCTGTCATTTTCGCCTACATCAACACCACCGAAGCCATCCAGACTAATGCCTTCGGAATCATCCTCCTCATCATCATTGTCGCTGCTCTCAACATCGTTCTCGTCTTCATCCTTGAAATAAGAAGCCTTCAGCCCGAAAGATATCTTTCCTTGCATGCGGTCAATCTTGAGGATTTTGGCCTTAACAGCATCACCCTCGTCGTACACAGTCCTGGCATCATCAACCCGATTTTCAGCCATCTCGCTGCGGTGGCAAAGGCCACTGATATTTGCAGAACCATCGACGACGATGAATGCACCAAACTCCTCGACTTTACGGATCTTGCCGGTGACGATTTGGCCGGGTTTGAGATCATGGAGTTTTAGCGGTGCCTTGTAGTTGGGGTCTAAAACAGACTCTTTCAGGCTGATTTGCAACCTGCCCTGTTCTGAGTCTACGACTGTGACGCGACCCTTGACCAGTTGGTCAACCTGGAAAGAATCCTTCCACTCCTTAAGGTAAGAGTCTGAAAGATCAGAGATACGGACATAAGCAGTTACACCATGGCCCAGTGTCACAAAGAGCCCATTATCAGCTACCTTGCGTACGAAGCCTCGCACAACATCATTAACTTTAACCTGATCCATTGAAGTGATTTCGGGATCCTGAACGGGGAGCGATGAACTAAGGACCTTAGAAGGACGGAGGGACAGGGAGATCTTCTTGTTGGCTTTATCAACGGAGATGACACAAGCGCGGAGCACCTCATTCTTGTGGTAGACTGTGGGGTTTGCCTTGGAGTAGTCGTCTGTCAGGTCGATCATATCAACTGCACCGACTATAGTATCGGTCAATTGCATAATGACCTGCCTTTCAGTGACCTTAGTGACTCTTCCCGGCAAGATCATGCCGGCGGTGATATCATCCAACGAAAGAGTCTCAGAGCCCTTCTTAGCCGAGAGATCCAAGCGACCTTTCTCGATATCCACCGCAGAGACATTGACTCTCAAAGCAGACCCTATGGGGAAGTGCTTTTCCATATCGGCTAAGAGAGACAAGTCATCGGATGCATCCATGATACGCAATCTACCCCGAACGTTAGGG